TTCCACTCGTTAGCTCCGTGATCTTAGAACACTCATCACTGGATTACCTGCTCCATGGAGTTGATTTTAGGACCAGTGAGAAAATGAGGTGATGCGACAATGTGTAATGATATGAACCCATCCCATTAAAGAAATAAAATTTTGTATGCAACCCAAGGAAAATGATTAAAGGAGCACACTCACAGGGTTTCTTTTGTACTTAGCAATGGGAAGTAGATAAAAAAGATGAGAGGTAGTTATGTTTTTAAAATATATCTATGCTTCTTGAATATTTTGTAATATGAATGTAAATGTAGAATACATAAATACATACTGAATTCTACCCGATACACATATTATTCAGAAAGAATGGCACAAATTGCCATTGCTTCTCTGTGACATGAAGGATAATTTGTCTCATTTTGTTTTATTTTGCTTTTGATATAGGATCTCAGTACATTGCAGGCTGGTTTTGGACTTGCTCTGTATCCCAGACTGGTCTCAAATTGCAATTCCCAGCCTCTGCCTGCCAGTGCTTGGATCACAGGCATGCACCACTACTTAGTTTAAATACTAGGTTCTTGATACCTTACAGAATTCAATGTAGTTCTTCAAAACTACTTCAAGAACAGCTCTCACATGTAAGCAAATTTGGAAAACTTCCATCAAAACAAAAAATAATGAAAACTGGACAAGTTTCCTGCTTTTGATATCTTCTGAGACATTAAGAAAGAACATTAGTTTAGTGCATGGTGAAAGATAAGGGTTTAGTTTTAATCTTCAGCATGCAGAAACCCAGTTTTTCCAGTGCCATTTATTACAAGGGTTATCTTTCTTTTTTCTTTTTTTAAAATTAATTTTATTGGTACATTTTATTGGTACATTTTAGGTATGCAATTCATTTCCATTTATCATTGGGTGTTTGTACCTGTACATGATGTATCTTGGTTCTTATTTTTTTCCCCATTACCTGTGTGCCCTTCACCCCCTCTGCCCTTCCCTATTTACATAGACTTCGTTTCCATTTTTTTTTTCTCATAGTTTTTCCTTTCATTCTTTTCCTTTCCCCTTCCCCTCCCTTCACTCCTTTGTCTTTGGACCTTTTTTCCTGTTTCAGATTATCAATTATTAATTTTAACTATTTTAACCCTTGTTTACACTATCAGTTTCTCACACCAGAGAAACTATTCGGTATTTACACATGTGTGTCCTATTTATTTCACTTAAGAGTATGGCCTCGATATGCATCCATTTAGCTATAAATGACTCTAGTTTTTCATTTTTTATGGTGGAGTAGTACTCCATTTTATTAAAAAAACCCACATTTTCTTTATCCAGTTTCCAGTTGATGGGCTATCTTTCTTCCAGTGAAGGTGTTGGGCTCCTTTGTCAAAGATAAGGTGGCTGAGTGTGTCTGGAGTTGTTTCTGCACCTTCTAATCTATTCCATTGATCCTTAGGTCTGATTTTTTTGCCAGTATCATACTGTCTTTATCACAGTAGCTTTGTAGTTAAATTTCAAGTCAGGGATTTTGATGCCTCCTGCCTTGCCTTTGTTGCTCAGAATTGCCTTTGCTATTCTAGGTCTCTTCTGGTTCCAAATGAATTTTAGTATTATTTTCTCTAAATCCGTGAGATATGCTCTTGGAATTTTGATTGGGATTGCATTAAATCTGTGTAATGATTTTGAAAGTATAGCCATTTTCACTATATTCTTTCTTCCTGCCCAAGAAGATGGGATATATTTCCATTTTCTGATATCCTCTTTGATCTTCTTTTTTAAAATTCTGTACTTTTCAATGTAGAGGTCTTACCTCCTTCATTAGATTGATTCCTATGTATTTCATGTTTTTGGATGCTATTTTGAAAGGTGTTTCTTTAAATTCTCTCAGTGAGTTTGTTATTCACGGACAGAAAGGGTATTGATTTTTGAATGTTGTGTCCAGCTGTGCTACTGAACTTGGTTATTAAGTCTAGAAGACTTTTGGTGGAGTTCCTGGGGTCTTCTATATAGAGTATCATGTCATCTGCAAATAATGATAATTTAACTTCTTTCTTTCCTATCCTTATTCCTTTTATTTCTTTCTCTTATCTAATTGCTCTGGCTAGTGTTTCCAGAACTATATTGAATAAGAGTGGTGACAGTGGACATTCTTGTTTTGTTCCTGATTTTAGAGTGAAAGCTTTCAGTTTTTGTCCATTTAGTATGATGTTGGCTGTTGGTTTGTCATAGATGGCTTTTATCAGGTTAAGATAAAGGCCGTCTATTCCAATTTTCTGTATGGTTTTTATCATGAATGTGTGTTGGATTTCAAATGCTTTTTCTGCATCTATTGAGATGATCATACAGTTTTTGTCCTTGGCCCTGTTAATATTAATATGCGTATGTTGAACCATCCCTGCATCCTTAAACTAAAATAAAAATGGATCAAAGATTTAAATACTAAAACAGAAACATTAAATGTGCCAGAAGATACAACAGGTAGAACTCTGGAAGACAATGATATAGGCAAAGACTTCATAAACAAAACCCTGGTGGCAGTGGAACTATTACAAAGAATCAACAACTGGGATTTCATCTTATTAAAAGGCTTTTGTACAGCAAGAGAAACCACCAACAGAGTGAAGGACAACCAAGGGTGTGAGAAAAATTATTTTCCAGCTGTTCTTCAGGCGAAAGACAATTATCTAGAATGTATAAATAACTCAAAAAATCAGACACCCCAAATTTAAAGACCCAATTCAAAAATAGACATCTGAAATGAACAGACATTTCTCAGATGAAGAAGTAGAAACAGCAAATAAACATATGAAAAAATCTTCAACATCACTGCTAATTTGTGAGATGCAAATGACAACAACTCTGAGATTCCACTTCACCCCAGAAAGAATGGCTGCTATCAAGAAATCAACCAATAACAAATGCTGGCGGGGCTGTGGGGAAAAAGGAACCCTGCTCCACTGCTGGTGGGAGTGCAGACTGGTGCAAACACTGTGGAAATCAGTATGGAGATTCCTCAAAGAACTAGGTCTAGAGGTTCCATTTGACCCAGCTATTCCCCTGCTGGGGATCTTCCCGAAAGAATTAAAAGAATCATAGCAGAGTGATATATGCACACCCATGGTTATAAGGGCACAGTTTGTAATAGCTAAACCTTGGAAACACCTCAAATATCCATCAACTGACAAATGGATAAAGTTGTGTTTTTTTATGTAATGGATTACTACTCTGCCATAAAGAAGGATGAGCTTGAGACAATTTGAGCTAAATGGATGCACTTTAAAACCACACTCTTAAGTGAAATAAATTGGATACACATGTTAAATGCCACGTTGTTTCTCTAGTACAAGAAACCAAAAATGGAAATAAGGACTAAAATGTATAATAGATATTAGGAAATGGGAAGAAAATGTTCAAATGGAAAGGGGAATGAGGAGGGGTAGGACAAGAAAAAGGAGAGAATAGAAGACAAAAAAAAAAGAAAGCTTTTGTAAATAAGGAGGGGAAAAGGGTTTATGGGGGGAAAGGGGAAAAAAGAAGCAAGATATCTTGTACAGGCACAAATTCCTTATGATGAATGTTATCATTATGTATATCTAAAATGTACCAATAAATGTTTTGCCAAAATAAGAACATTAGGTAGAAGGAACACATAATTTAGGTTGTAGCTTGGACCTCTGTTTTAGAGATTCTTTATGAAGCTGCAAAACAACTTTTTTAGTAATGATCAAAAATGTGCCAAGGAACCATAAAAGTCCAGAGGCTCTAAGGCAGAAGTTTCTTCACCTCCACCCCACAAATACTCCACATGCACACCGTTTTTGCATCTTCATCTCCTGGGGTGATGTTCAATTTTGGATGAACTGGATTGTACTCCTGTTTGGATGTCAGCTTTGGAGGAATCCCCACTGAACTTAGATCCTGAAATCCTAGGAAAATACCTCAGTGGAGAAACATGTGCTCTCTGGTCTAGAAAAATGAACCATTTATTTCTTTTAATTGATATTTCTTGCTTCAAATACATTACAAAATATCTGAAGCAAAAATTGTCTTTGCACTGTTCTAACTTCTCACAGTCTTTAAGGCTGGGCTCCACCAGAGGAACATTCCATAGGTATTGATTGTTACAGTCTAAAGAAACTCCGACAGCCTGACTTTTGACATGCAAACGCGATTTCCAGAGATGACTGAGCAAGGATTGCTGAGTACAAGTCCTTACGCCTTACCCAGCTGCTGGGAAACTGCCCGACCCTCTTTCAGCGGTAATAATATCAGTCGGGGCCATGTGCTTGCCCCTGGGTCACAGAGCCCCAGTCAGGATGCCAGGATCTCTCAGGAGGAACTACTCCAGTGAGCGGCATGCTCCGGCGACACGCAGGCCTGTGTCCTTCCTAGGATGTGTTTCATAGGTACCAAGACACTGAAGTAACCACACCACGGGATTACTTTTGAGAACATTTTAAATTAGAAGGACAAGCACATATTGGAAATACATAAAGTAGAAAAAGATAAGTCTTATAGGTCTGAATTCCTTCCCTGACTCTCCAGGGCCTTAGAACTACTTCGTCTTGTGATTTGGTTCATGCGTATGGCCCTAGAAATTTTTCATGCATGAATTTTCTTATTTTATATAAATAAGGAGATGTTAATGAACTTTATACATGAAAGTTTATAAATGTATATTTATAAAGGCACTCTGTGTAGAAGCATTCTGCATTAGGGTGTATTTTCACATCAGCATGGGTGAATTCCCCTCCCTGATTCACAGATACCCCTAGCTAAGTAAGGTCTGTCACCTCGCACTCCCCAGGCTGGTATAGCTCTTACAAAATCACGAAGGTGAGCGAACCCGCCATTCCTGACTCAGCTCCTACGAGCAGCTGCAGGACTCATTTCTAAACTTGCATCTACCTGGAAGAGCATTTGCATTAATGCCTAGCAGACACCGGGGCCCTGGCGCAGTGCCTGCTCCTCCCGCTGGCCCCTGCAGGGACGCTCGGCCGGGCGCCTCTGCTACTCACGTTGATGTCTTCCAGGTCCAGGGCGTTGAGCACCACGCGGTTCCTCTCCCACACGATGGGCGGGCGTGGGTCGCCCTGCACAGCGCAGCTCAGCACAGCGCTCTGGCCCACGGTGGCCGCTGAGACACGCAGCCGCTGGTCGCGGGGCAGGTGCAGCCGGGTGACTTCTGCGGAAACAAGGCAGGAAAGGCTCGCAATGACCCCAGTGAAAGATCAGGGCATTTCAACTGAGCTGATGGCAAGCATTTCATAAGGCAGGGAACTATGAAACATGAAGTGGACATCTAGCCCGGCATGGCCCGCAGAGGAAGCCGATGATGCTTGTTCTCTGACAGATTGCTACGGCGGGTGGGCCGGCTCACTGCTGGCAGCTGCCTGGCCAGACGCATCATCATGTGCAAAATGTAAACGGACCCCAGAAAGGTGACATGCTTGGGAAACTGGGCGAGAGACAGAGAGACAGAGAGAGAAACACTAGGCCAACCGCAATGAAGGGAAATTCCGCCACCCACCTTCCACAGGGCTGGGGAAGACGTGCACCATTCCTTACACTGCAGTATAGTTTTAACTAACCAATATGCACATTTCTGCCAACAACTATGCTGAACCATGAACATATCATTTGAAATCTGGGTATGGTTTTCTTTTCCCTTGTTCAACAAGCTGCACAACAGTGAAAATTAACAGCTATCTCTACCAACTATCAAGAGAGATTCTGGCCTCACAAATCTGCATCCCAGGAACCTGGCCCCTGGCTCGCAGCTGACACTCACAGACAGTGGCTCCTGTGCACCACCACTCAGCTTTGTACTGGGACTCCCATCGGACTTACCCACATTAGCTATATCAACACGTGGCTCTTCTAATTTAAATTCTGATATGGAGGCTGGTATAACTGTCTCTTGTCCCTAAATGTACTGGTGGTATTTTTCACGGGGAGTTGAGTGGAGAAGACTGTGTCTTCTAAATCGGAATAAACACGATTGCACCTAGTCGCTGCAGGTCATCCACAGATGCCTCTCCTCCCACCTCCATTCTGTCCTGTTTTTCTTATTCTTAATCTGGCCTTCCTCTCAAGGAGAAAGGTGCTAGTGAAAGTAACATCACAGAGTATAACTACTCAATCAAGGTTCTTTGGTGTTTGGTGCCATCGTAGATTGCAGTGTAGAAAATGTCACTGTTGGCATCACGAGGTCAGCATGAGCATGAAGTTCACAGCTCCCTGGGGTCTTCTCCAGGTCTGAGCTCAAGTGCTCTGTGTGACCTTCAGCCCTGGCTGCCAGATCATTATTCATGAAAATAAGCAGGACTGGATTGACACTTGACACTTGATTCTGTTATCAGCATGCCCTTTCAAATCTAAGAGTAGTTATGTAAGTCATGATTGCTTCATGTCGAAGAAGGTTAGGGATGCTCTTGACACCAAAAAATCCAACTAGGGAGAGGCTCGACCAAAACTTGTTTTTTGGGTTATCACATTCACAAAAACCCAAAATGGGTAACATGCTTGAAATGGGTAGCAAGCACCTTGTTAACGTCTATGTATGGTTAGTTTAATGTTCCCTTCATAATGGTTGCTCATAGTTCATATTTGCACTTTATTTCAATATTCCCTGAGTAATACCAACATAGATAATAATTTCAGTCTGCTTTTCTTTAATATATGTGTTTGAATGAATACACACACTCATGCACATATTCACACACATACACATACGTTACACACATCAGTATGTGTAACTAAAAAAATTTGACCAATTACTAATGTGAAGAATGTGAAGTTTCAAATTTGCAGATAAAGTGCTTGGCTTTTTAAAAAATTACAAATTTACAGAAAGAGTGAAGATTATAAAAGTAGTAGTGTCATGAAGCCGAGGATTATTATGTTTATAATATTTGAGAATTATTACTTTTCATTTACATTCCTGAATTACAGCTTCTAATTCCACATTGATTCCTGCAGGAGATGATGGGATCTCTGGTGCTAAATCAGGCATGACAGCACACTGGCTGCTCTGACATTTACAGACCCACTGCCACTCGGGCACACCCTGGAACCCCTCTACACTCCTGTGTCTGGGATTGAGTCTCCAGGCACTGAAATTATTTTTCATTTTAAAGGCACATACTATAATACTGATTCAATAATGCTCATCCTAAAATAAGTGCTGAGAATTGTCATAACATTGTGTGGGGCAGTGCTCCCAAATATATTTTTGAGAGGTTATAGAATAAAAGTGCTAAGCCACCCAGGAAATGCACAGAAAATTCTTCTTTAGCTTGAAAAACACATTTCAAAATTATTTTTAAAATATCTTGGTCATATGTTTCACTGAATAATTGTATATATCTTTTGAAAATTACTTAGGCCTTTTTCTTCATATTTCACCTGCATATTCCCTGACATATAACAAGATATATAGACGCTGGGCCTGGGATTTAGCTCAGTGGCCCCACGCCTGCCTCACAAGCGCAAGGTCCTGAGTTTGATCCCTGGTGCCAAAAAAATAAAAAAAAAGACACAGGCAAAACCAATTATTTTAACTGTAACTGATAAAAAGTTAAATTAAGTGGCTCTCCCTTAAAGACAGTTATTTTCATACAAGATGGCCATGCCTATCTTTAATCATCTGTAAGGTTATTAACAAACAACTCCTAAACTCAATCTTCAAGGAGGCAATAAGTTATTTTCCGCCTGCATGCTGAGGAGAATCGGAGCTGGGAGCTGAAACCACTTGCTCACTGCTTGGGAGGTTTGTCCACACCCTGGCTGATGGCTGTGAGCTTAGGTGTGCTTCTGTCATTTTCCACCAGGGACCTGAGATAGGAAAAGCACGTAGCTCCGCCTCCACACGTGGTAAGTCAGTGGTGGTGGCAGACCGTCTTTACCCAGATGTCTCATGAAAAAGAAAACTTTCCTTTCTGGAGTAAGTTGATATCATTACAGACATCTAAGCACTGTTGCATGTATCAACCATACGTACCAAACATCACTTGTAATGTGGCACAAAAAAGTGGAGACAGGATAATGAGAGGAGCAGCAGCAACCCTACCAGTATGTACTGTAAAACATACTATGTTATGAAAATAAAAACCATTACAGAAACGTTTGCAAAGAACTCAAATCCTTTAATAAAATCACATTGTAAGTTTGTAAAGGAACTAAGCAGAAATTATAGAAGTAGAAATTATAATAATTGAAGCTAATTATTGAATTTGTATTTTTAAAATCAAATTATATAAAAAAGAAAGGGGGCTTAGTATACTAGAGCAGTGATTAAGTGACCATTTATAGAAAACACAAGAGCCAAAAGACAGGTTTAAAAAAATAGGAAGTCAATGAAGATAGGTTTATGTGGAATCCCAGAATAAGAGAACAGAGAAAACATGACAGAGATAATGTTTGAAAAAATATCGGATAAGAGGCTTTTCATAAATATAAAAGTTACCAGCGAAGAGCAGACTAAAGAAGTTCATTAAGTCCCAAGCAAAACAGACAGAACTTTGGACTAATTCCTATCTAGACACTTAGAAGTGAAATTGAAGAAAATGATGCAAAAAGAAATACCACAGTTATGCAAATTTAGAAATACAAATTGACTTTACAGTAAGGAGAAATAGCCAACATTTTACAAAAATAATAAAAAAGACAATGGTATGATTTCCTCAAAGCAAAGACACAAAATAATAAAATTAATCTTAGAATTTTATACACATATTTAAATACAATAAAACATAACTTTTTTAGAATGAAGGAAAAAAGCAAAAAAGAAAGAAAAGAAGAAGGAAGGAAGGAAGGAGGGAGAGAGAGAGACAGTGGGGCAGGGAGGCAGGGTGGACAGAGAAAAGGAGGAACGGAAAGGACCTCCAGCAACACTGTCTCACAGCAACTTCTCGAGGATGTTCCTCAGGCAGAAGGAAAACTGTCCTTGTAAAATCTTAAAGATGCAAGAAGGAAAGCGATGACCATGTTTTAATATAAATGTCAAAGCTTAACACTAAATTTTGATATTTCAATAATGCCTGATAATGTGTATTTTTCTTCAACTTTAGAACAGAAAAAGATTTCTTAGAGTGCCAAAGAACTCACCATGAAAGAAATCATGTTTGACTTTGACCATATTATAGTTTATATCTATTCATCAAAATATGGTATTAAGTGAACAAAAACACAACACAGCTAGCAGGATATCTGCCACCCACAAAACTTATACAGATCTCACATGTAAAATGAAGATCTCTGATAGGTCAATAAAAAAGTCAGAAATAAAACAGCCAAACTTTTATAAATGCTTTAGATGTTAACCCATCCATACTGCTAAACATAATCTTTCAAAAGTGCTCAAACATCGGCAAGATCAGAGTGATAGAAGTTAAATCCAAAACCCTTCAAATTGGCATAAATTTAAAAGTCTAGTAACAGTAAGTGTTGGAAAGAATATGGAGAAACATAAGTTCTTACGAGTCTTGAACAAGAGAGTAAATTCGTACATCAATTTTCCTTCTCCACTAGTGAATAAAGCCACATCCACATCAATGCATGATTCGAAGCCCATGTCAGCCCTGTGCTTCGCCAGCAGGAGCGATCGGGTGTTGTGAAGCAACAGCACACAGCACACAGGTGCTGCTTGACTTCTTATGGTACTTCTAACATATGTACCGGATGGGAAGAAAACAGAGACCCAAGGGGAATCAGAGACTGATTAGATACATGAATCATGAACCTACTCTCAAAAGGAGAGCCAGAAATATTTTGAAGACAAAATAGAAAATGAAGTTTTTTCTACCAAAATTATGAAAGTATTAAGGAACACTAATAAGTATAAATAAAAGTATTTAGCAGCTAAAGTGAAAGGTAATTCTTTCTGTAGCATTGGTGGCATTGAGAAGTTTTAGAAAAATGAATAAAAGACTTCAATAAAAGCTTTTCTTGTAAAGTAATAAAGGAAAGATTCTTGTGCATAATTGGAATTTCATTTATTATTTTCTTTACAACTCTGAAATGAGCATAGTAAATCCTGTAGACAGGTCTGTGTTGTGATACTATAAGCAGCTTTACATATTAATAATACTGTCTCTTTTTCTTTTTTTGGTACTGGGGATCGAACTCGGGTCCTTGCGCTTGCAAGAGAGGCGGCAGAACCACTGAGCTAAATCCCCGGCCCAG